TCCTGCTGCAGGTTGCCATCCCATGGTAAGTGTGTTTGTCTGTGCATCCATCCTTCCTTTCCTCCATGTGCAAGGATTGCAGACCTGCTCTGCATGCATGTGTTTAGTGTGTGGCTGCACTTGCCATATCCTGGCAAAGTCTTGGAGACTTCTGTGTTTGCTGCCCCATCCTGCCAGGTGACTTAGGTCCAAATTAGTGGCTCACATACACAGATTATTGTATTTGTAAATCCAGTCTCTTACCTGACAAAATGAAGTACAGGAAAAAGAAAGTGAAAGCACTCGAATGATGCTGTTAGGATCCTTAAAAACAGTTGCCAGTAAACCATTTTTTTTCTACTTGGAGCAATGAGTCGTATCTTTAACCTTTTATCATTTTAGCAACTCTCAGCTTCACCAAAGAGCAGCTATCTCCCCAGAAATTTTTCTGACAACAGTGTCCTCCAGAATTTGTAGGATTATCTAAGTAGTTTAAAGAAATCGACAGCCAGGATTGCTGACTAAAGAGAGAAGTCTCTGAGAGAACCAGAGAGAGACAGAGCATGCTTTTTCAAATGAGTAAAGCAAGGAGAATTATACTTGTCCTTAAGTTTGGTGGTGAGCAAAGTCCAAGCCCCTGGTGTCAGGTTTGGACCTGCTGTTTTTTATTCCCTCCTTTTTTACTCTGACTTTTCTCATTCTCTGCTTTTGCTCTGTGCAGATCCCAGGCTTATATGAAAAACTTGATTGTTGTGGAGTCATTTGAGATTTACCTGTGTTAAGAAAAAGGGGCCATTCACTCTGAAAGTCTACCTGTGACAGCTCTGACCTAGAATTAAAGACTGGTGTTCATGCTGGGCTGAATCAGGGGAGCAGGAGCTGATGCTACACCTGGAAACAAACTGGGGATTCCCAAGAGCCATTCCTTTGCAAATGCCAGGCCAACTAGGATCTTGGAGAGTTGACAGCTCCTCCTAGCTCCTTTGGTGCTCCCATGCCTGGGAGGGAACTTCCAGTGATGTTCCCCAGGGATGAGGGAACAGCTCTTCTGCCCCTCACCCCCCTTATGTTAACAGTCATCACTTTAATCCTGGGGCAATGGGGCAGATTTCCATGAATCAGGAATGCACCTGGTGCAATAACTGCTGCTGTCACCAGCAGAGCGTCAGGGACAGACGGTCCCGCGCCCCGGCTTCCCGGGAAGCCCTGCTGGAAGGGGGTGCCCCTTCCCTGGGCCTGTCTGCAGGATGGACGCAAGTAGGGAAGGGTTCTCTTCCCCCTGAGCGAGAGAGGGGCGGGGGGTGCCCGGGGCTCCGCCGCACGGAAGGGCTGTTACAGCACTTCTGTCCATCCCCACCCGGGTCCCCGGGGTCTCCCACTCCCGTTCCCCCCTCACAGCCACTCGTGTCCCAGTGGAGCCTGGGACTGGGCTCCTGGTGCCCCCGCCCTGCACACTCGCTTTGCCGTTTGTTGCCCAGAACCCCCGTTTGACAGCTCTGAATCCTCCTTGTGCCTGCCCCAAGCATGCTAGCAACAAAACACAGCAGAAGCTTTCCTTGCCTTTCCCTTGACCTACCCCGTGTTTCTTGAGACACTCTCATGCTTCAGCTGGGCTGGGACATTCAAATAATTCTTCCTTGTTTCTGAATTTATCAAAAAAACCACCTGGGCCCTCACGGCAGGGGCCAGCCAGGCTCTTGGTCTGTATCCTTCTCATTTCCTTTTTGCAGAAAGGTATTTCTCCTTGGGACCCACCAACTGTGCCAAAGTTTTGTCCCAGGAGGTAGGTGCTGGTTTGCTATGATCCTAGAAAGAAAGACACTCGGATCCTGTAAAGTACAATTTGAGACTTCGTTTCTTAGAGCTGACACCAGCCAGTGAGACAAGGGTGGATAATCTTATGTTCCCTCAGATGCTGTGAACCATGTTCCAGAGCTCATGTTACAATGAGCTGGCTGACGTTATCCTGTGGCCATAGGTTTTGTCCTGAAGTCCAAGATGTGTCTGCAGCACAGCTCAGTCCTGCCCTTGGGTTAACTCCTATGTGGATTACTGAATCCTCTATGTACAGTGATCCCCCAAACAGGATCAATTCAGCAGAGAACACATATCCCTCCATCTCTTCTTCATTCCATCTCTCTTCACATCCCCATCACTACTCATTCATTGCTTTGCCCCAGTCTCACCCCCTCTTTCTGGGCCTTCTGCCCAACCCCCTCACAGGGGTTTAGAAGTGAATAGGAAATATCTATTTTAAATATCTACATTGATACTAATATTGAACTGGATCTTATTCTTGTGCTAAGAGAAAGAAGCTCTTCCTTTTATTCAAATTTAGAAATGAGATTTAGTTGTTGAGACATGGGTGTCTAATGTTATTTTAGATATCCTGTCATTTCCAAGACTGACACATGATGCCAACATGTACAGGACAGGACCTATGGAACACAGCTAGACCAGATTTCCTCACCTTTGTGAGGACCACTCACCTGTGCTACAGCTCCTCACTGCAATTTGCCCTCCTGTCCAGAGTTCTGGCAACTGAGTTAAAGCTCTATTCAGTATTGAAACAGTTCAGACCACTGACCTGTAGACAAACCTGGTGGCTTTAGATGCCTAACTAACAGATCAGTCACAAACCAGACACTTTTTACCATCCTCTCCCTAGCATTCCACACAACTGCATTTGCTCATTGATTTCTCAACCACCCTCCTGCCCACCAGTTTCCTGGATGCATCCCAACTACAGATGAATTCATCCATTCATTCAATTCCCCATATGGTCACTTTTTTCCTGCCATTCACTCCTACTATGACTAAATACTGTCCAGCTCTCCAGCTACTCTGCTGAAATCCATGTGTTCCTCCACTCGCCCTCCCAGACATTGCTTCACCTGCTCTGTCTGTCCTTCCCTCTGCCCATGGTTTCCTCTGTCAACACTGGTATCAGTGTCCTTCAGGGGCAATTATTGCTGCTCAGGCCAAAACTCTGGGCTGTGCCTTATGTCTCAGGCTGTGGCTCATCCCATTGCTCCCACCTTCCCTGTATTCCAATATGAATTAAACACGACAACCTCACTGAACCAATAGGCATTTTTGATGCCTGCAGTTCCCATCCCAAGCCTGTCTCCTACTAATCTGCTATCAGGCTGGTAAGAGAAAAGCAAAAAGGATCCTGAGGTGGCAAAGAGTCATCTTGGTCCATGTACATGGGGGGGAGCTCTGTATCTTGGAGGAAAGGAAGATGGAGGTGCCCAGTGTTTTTCTGAAGATCCTTATAGCTCACTTATGCTTTTTCCCACACAGAAGCTGTCTTCCACCAAAGAGTCAAGATGAGGAAAAGTGGCATACTGAGCAAACAGTACCTGTGTAGGCGTAAGTTGGGGCCAGAAGGGTGGAGTCTGAGCAGTCATGAAGATTTGATCTAGGAGAGCATTGTGGGAAGGAACTGTCTTCTTGGGTGGTTGACATTTTTTGAAAACTCAGGGGCATGCTCTGTAGTCAGCCTTGACTTTTAACTTTTGGCACAGCAAAAGATATTTTAAAGTGTGATTCATCTCACTCATAGTGCTGAGGACTTTCCAAGGAGACCATCACAGAGTGGAAGGATGGTGTAGAAGGGATGTCTGTTACTGAGGGAGACAGGATGAGGAAACAGTCTTCAGTGCTGTGGTACTGCATCAACTACTGTAGTGCTGCAGAGTGTTGGGTACCTAGGTACATTGCTTGACTGGTGACTTGCATCAGGCCCTCCAGGTGAACTACACCATCTTTGGTACACCATCCCCTTCCAGCACCTAACAACATTGGAAGGTCTTACACCTTTGCTAAGTGTCACTGTATTCCTACTACAGTCTTACGTCATTCTTGACTAAGACATTACTCTAACACATTTTACCCTCAGATTTTATGTTCCACTGACGCCAAACCTTGCCCTAATACGAGATGCTCTTTATGTCAAACCAAGGGCAAAGGTGTGCAGAAGTTTGCCTTTCCATGGACTGCTGTTATAGCAGGCAGAGAGGTCACCAGAGCCATCTTCCAACCAAATTCAAATAGCTTCAAATAAACCATTCACTACAGGTATGACAGGTAAGAACGGGAGATCAGCAAGAGACATCTCCACTGCTGATAATGTAAAGGAAATGAGGCAACTTCCTGTGAATCAAAAGATTCCTGTGATATCAAAGATAGAGATCTTTGATGCCATGCAAAGTGCCCTCGGTTTGGTCCCCCTTTCCCTTTCAGCAGTCCAAAATTAGTAGTATGTCTGCTTAAGCTGAAAATCAAGATCATCTCTTTGGAGCATTAGTCTCAAAGCAGGTGGTGGGACCTGCTCCTGTTTCTGAGAGATGGTCAGAAGGCTTGAGGAGCTACAGGGCATCTCCTGCCATCTGCATGGAGCTCCATTGTGGGACTGTCTCATGCTACATGCTGGGGACAGACAGACCCCCCTCAGTGCCATGGTAGGCCTGAACTAAGAGGGCACATTTGGGCAATCTCAGGGCACAGCTGCCACATGCATCAGACAGAAAGGGGCTTAGAGAGATGGACAGCTGTGATCTAATGGAAACATGCTGACAGCCCCAGGGACCTTTCATTGCTAATTGTCAGCTTCTGCAACTGGCATTTCTCTGGCAGGTTTGATCACACAACTCTTCCCCACTACAAGTAGACACCTCAAATGCTGAGTTTCCTATGTGCAACCAGGCAGTCTGACAGCTGCTGTGTCTTCCTCAGGTTTATTCCAGAAGGGTTTGTGGTTCTTTTCTTCCTCTCCTGAAGTGGACCTGAAAGCTGTGACAGTCAATGTAACCATCCAGGATTTTGTGGCTGATGTGGTGTCTGAGCTGCTTTTCTGCAACAGGCTGCAGGTCTCTAACAAGACTGTGTTTGTCCTTCCTGTGGACTCCAACACTGTTGTACACACCTTCTACGCTACCATGGGGGACACTCGTGTTGAAGCAATGCTCTGGGAGAAGGAGGAGGTACTGGGGTTGCAGTGGGAGGGGGTGGTCTGCAGATTGGGATGATGGGTGGAGGTGATGGAACGGAATCCTGTGGAGACCTCAGTGACACATTTTTCTCCCTCTGTGGCAGGCCCAGCAGTTGTGCAAAGCCACTTCAGGCATGGAGAATTTAAGATACCTGCAGGACCAGTGGGATCTTTGGGGTCCTGTGTTTGCTTGTTTCCTGGGGTCTCTGCCTTCTGATACAGAGGTGACCATCAGCCTGTGCTATGTTCAGGAGCTGCCACTGCAGCCTGATGGAGCAGCCCAGTTTTGCTGGCCATATGAGCTGTTCCCCCAGGTGTTCCCTTGGAGAAGATATGATTCCACAGGTGCATTCCCCAGGGAGGAACATATCACTCCCCCACATTCCTCCACGGAAGCACCACCACAACTGCACACGTGCCTCAGTGAGAGAATATGAATATTCCCCCTTGCACCTCAAAACCAGAAACCCCACAGCTCTCCCCATATATCTCACAGCAAGAGATCCCTGCAGATACCTCTACAGTGTGAGTTTACAGACTCACCATGCCCTCCCCCACTAAGCACCACAGTGAGGGGTATTTCAGATGCCACATTTCCACCCTACCATACCCCCTGCCACATATCCTACCCTACCTGTGCCCCACCATAACTGTCTGCTGTCCTAGGGTCTCTTCTTTCACCTTCTCACACCTCTTTCTCACTGCAGACCAGATCTCTTCTGAGGAGATACCCAAAAACCTGGACTTCATTGTCTGTCTGAAGTCAGCCCATGGTGTGTCCCATGTTGACATTAACTGCAGCTACACCCCTTTGCAATACACAGCTCCAGATCAGACATCTGCTGAGGTACAGCCCTGCCAGATGCTCAGGTCCCACAGGGGGAGAGGAGGGAAGGATTTGCAGCCTGCTGATGCTCCTTATCTTTCTATCTGGTACTCTTTCCTCCCCACACCCTGCTTGTCCTCAGGTCTCCTTGAAATCTTCCCCCTGGCTACACAGTGATCTGAACTTACTGGTGTATTACAGAGGATCTCACAGTCTCAGTTCTGTGGTGGAGAGGAGAGATCCCAAAGCCCCACCGGGTGAGTGAGGAGAGTGGAGGTGTCCATTAGGAGAGGGTGTCAGGGAGACTGGGGGGATCTGAGGGGCTTTTCAGGCAGAGTTGAGGTCTGTGTGGAGGACAAAAGCACAGGGAAGAAGGCTCCAATCTAAAAATCTGCCTTGTTTCCCCACACTCCAGGCTCTCTGCTGGGAGATCCTGTGGTGATGGTGACATTAAGGCCCTACATTCCTGAGGTGGTGCCCAGTCCAGGCCAGCTTGGGGAATTCCTCTTCCTCATGGACCGAAGCTTCTTCCATGATGCACAGGTACCACCAGAGGAGGTCTTCAGAGCGGATGGTTCCATACTGGTCATGCCCAGCTGGTGGGGCTCCAAGTGGGCAGATGTTCTACCCAGTTTTCACATCTGAGCTCTCCTCACCCCTCCATCTGTCCCCAGAACACACTGCTCTTCCTCCTCAAGAGTTTGCCTCTGGGCTGCTACTTCAACATCTACAGTTTTGGGGCCACTTTCAAAGCCTTCTATCCGTGAGTTGGGGATGATGATGGGGCAGGGCCAAGGGGTAAGTAAAGTACAACTTCTTTTAAGTGTAACTCTGGAAAAAAACTCTTTCTGGAAAGCAGTTATCTGATGGAATATGTTGAGGGCAGTGAGAGAGTAAGTTCTCTTTTCAGGGTGCTTCTGTAAGCACTTGATAGTGAGCATGGCCAGGTTCTCCCCTCTCTGACACTCTGAGTGGCTTCCTACAGGCAGAGTGTGGTATACAGCCAGGAAAGCATGGACAATGCAGTGAGGCGAATCTCCTCCATCCGCCCTGGTCTGGGGGGCTGTGACCTGCTGGGCCTCCTAAGGTCTATCTACAGCACTCCTCTCCTTCATGGACATCCCCGACAGGTATTAATGGCCAAAGAGTTATGGGGTAGGGAACATGTGTAAGCAGTTGGATAAAGGTAGACTTCAGAGCTTGGGGTTAGAAGTTACATTGCTATTTGCATCCAGAGTTGGCACGTGAGGACAGGAAGTGACACCATCATTGGGGTGGGCAGCATGGGAGGGTTTCTGTGGGTTTTGTCTGCACTTGGGGAAGGTGTATCTTCCTTGTGAAAAGCCCCTTTGTACTCAGAGGTGTCCTGGTGATAGTGAAAGGAGTCACACAAGCTCTTTTCATGTTTCAAGGCCAGGGGGTACGAGAGGGTAAGGGAGCAAACTGAGAAGCCTTCCTGCATTTTAGGATGATTTTTTTCCTCTACAGATGTGCTCAGCCCTGGTAATCTTTGTTTTCCCTCCTTTCTCCCTCAGCTTTTCATCTTCATTCAAGGGAAGATCTCCAATGAAGAGGAAGCTGTCATGGCTGAGGTCTCTCATTACCGGGACCAGCACCGGTAATGGGGGGATCCTGTCCCCTAACATGCCAATTCACAACCCTCTTCTCCCCCTGATTATCAGAGTACTTCAAACATTCTCCCAGATCTTAGTCTGCCCCAGATCTTGTCTTTACTTCAATGGAACTTCAACAATGACCCAAACACAGTCCCTTACCTCACTAAGACTGCCTATACTCTTCACTGCTCTTCTCAGAACTTTTCCTCTTCCTCCTCACCCTGCAATACCCCAGTGTGCTCTGCAGAACCAAAGCCCTTTCTCATCATCTCCCTGTCCAGCAGGCAGTGTCTTATACCCCAGAGTGAGTGGGAAAACTCTGATTCAGTTTCATACTTTCATCTCCAGACTTCGTCCTTGGTACCACCTTTGGCCATCATGCCTCTCACCTTTGTCCCATCTCTAACCTCCCCCTCTTTTCCTGTACAGGTGTTTCTGTTTTTCTACATGTGACAGCTTCAATCTTTCCCAGGCCATGGCCCTGGAGACCAAAGGTGAATGCGTGTGCATCCACTCTAGTATGAACATGACATCTGAGGTAATAACCCAGGTACCCTCTGCTCTATTCAGTATATCCCATGGCTTTCCTAGACATGCAAGGCAACCCAAATGCCACCATCCACTCCAGCTTAGAGACCTCCTCCTATTTCCCTCCTGCCCAGAACTGGGAGGGAATCCAAACAGTCTGTGTTCTCTGCTTCCCCTCACCAGGTAATGAAATGTCTGCAGCAAGCTCTGCAGCCTCTGGCAACTAGGATCTCACTACACTGGGACCTTCCACCTGGCCTGGAAGTGTCAGTGATCAAAAAAGCTCCTGAGATGATCTTCCAAGGACATCAGAGCTTCATCTATGCCCAAATCCATGGGCAAGCACAGGTGAGAGTAATCCAGGAACCATATGCACTGGGACTTTCTGGAAGATAAAGGACCCATTCCCTGTTTCACTTTTCCAGACCTGAGAGAGCCCATGATAAGGGCTCTGTGAACCTCCTTCTTGCCCTACCATTCCTG